ACCATACAATCAGTTACCCAAATAAGAAACACGTTATGCCCTCTTCACTGATGGTTCTTGCCGTATTGTAGGGAAAAATCAGAAGTGGAAAGCAGCTGTCTGGAGTCCTACCCGACAAGTGACAGAAGCTGAATCGAGTGGAGAAGGTGAATCGAGTCAATTTGCAGAACTCAAAGCCGTTCAACTGGCTCTGGACATTGCCGAACGAGAGAAATGACCAAAGCTTTACCTCTACACCGACTCATGGATGATAGCCAATGCTCTGTGGGGGTGACTGGATCGGTGGAAGAAGATTAATTGGAAGCGTAGAGGAAAACCTGTTTGGGCTGCTGATTTATGGCAAGACATTGCCGCTCGAACTGAGAAGCTGACTGTGAGAGTTCGCCATGTAGATGCTCATGTACTCAAAAATCGAGCTAATGAGGAACATCACAACAACAAACAAGCAGACCAAGCTGCACAAGTCAAGGTGTCGCAAGTAGATCTAGACTGGCAGCATAAGGGAGAGTTGTTCCTAGCTCGATGGGCCCATGATGCTTCAGGTCATTAGGGCAGAGATCCCACCTATAGATGGGAGCGAGACTGAGGGGTGGATCTAACCATGGACACTATTTCCTAGGTTATCCATGATTGTGAGACGTGCTGCCATCAAACAAGCAAAAAGAGTGAAACCCCTATGGTATGGTGGACATTGGAATAAGTATAGATACAGGGAGGCTTGGCAGGTTGACTATATCACACTGCCACAGACTTGCCAAGGTAAGCGCTATGTGCTCACTATTGTAGAAGTAACCACTGGATGGTTAGAGACTTATCCGGTGCCTCATGCAACTGTCCGAAATACCATTCTGGGTCTTGAAATGCAAGTACTGTGGTGACGAGGTACCCCAGAGCAAACTGAGTCAGACAATGGGACTCATTTCAAAAACAGTTTAGTTACTACTTGGACCAGGGAACATGGCATTGAATGGGTATATCATATCCCATATCATGCACCAGTGCTAGGCAAAGGAGGGGATTTGCCATTTGGCTAGCCAATGCAAGGACACAATATAATAACTATGGCAACACAGAAACCAATGGTAGACAAGTGAGTTAACAACTTCAAAACCCCGGCACACCAGCCGCTGGAAAAGTTGAGCGATGTAATGGATTGTTGAAAACTACTTTGAAGACATTGAGTGGAGGGACTTTCAAAAACTGGGATCAGCACCTAGCAAAAGCTACTTGGTTAGTCAACATTAGAGGCTCCGTCAATCGAGCTGGCCCTGCCCAATCAGAACCCCTTCACACTGTGGATGGAGACAAAGTCCCAGTAATTCACTTGAGAGATATGTTAGGTAAAACAGTTTGGGTTAACCCTCCCTCGAGCAAAGGCAAACCCATTCATGGGATCGTCTTTACTCAAAAACCTGGATGTACTTGGTGGATAATGAGAGAAGATGGGGAGACCCAGTGTGTGCCTCAAGGAGATCTAACCTTGGGGAAAAACTAATTTGTATTCTGAGTTGTATGTTGCAGGGAAAGTCACTAGATGAGGAAGACCTGAACTAAGCCGATGCTGGTGCTCAATGATGAAACAACCATAGAAGACAAGACCTATATAAGCACGGGATATAGGCGAATATAGGATATGAGTGTGATGTAAAATAGTAGGGAAGTAGTCTTTATTATTAATTTTCCCTGTATATAGATAGTGCTTATAGTTTTTTCTTCTCTGTGTAAATATAAAACTGCCTTTCTTGGTAAATCCCGGGTTTTTACGTTTTTTTCTTCATCTCCCCTTTTCCCTCGGGGGGGGAGGGAGAGATCTGTGCAGCCTCGGTGGACACCTGGCGTTCAGCCAAACTAAACTCTCCCTGGACAGATGGGAAAAGGTCCTTTCCACTGGTCTGTTTGCAAGTTTTTAATTATAATTTGGGCTTTTCCCTGAGGTTTCACATCATTTGTGTTCGATTTAAAAATTTAATATATAGCAGGCTTTGGCAACACATTCCTGTGGTGTTAATCCCGTACTCCCCCTTTTTGTTTTTTAAGGACAGACCTTGAGGGTTAGTGTTGATAGAAGGTGCAGGCAAAATTTGTTGACAAACTGTTGTATAAGTGTGTTTTTATTTGAGGCATTATTGTTTGAATTCTCACACACACACATTTTTTCATTCGTGCAGGCGACCGCCCTTTCACACTCCATACATACATGTTCTGCATCCCTATTCTGTTTTTGCATTGCCTTCGCTGATTGGTTTTGGTGAAACTGTGTGTGACCTTAAGTGCTGTATGTTCTAATACTATAAGGGCAGAAGGGATCAAATATGTGTGTAAAAGATAACTAAAACAATTAGAAAACAAACATTATTTTAACAACAAAACAAAACGTAGTATTACGTTGTTACTCTAGAAGATTCTGTGCTGCAAACACAAAAAGCAGAGCATTTAGTGGTTTTTACTTTTACAGTCTAATTCTGTTGTTGCTTTATTAGACTGCACTGTTCGTATGGTTCTTTTCTGAGAGTTCTCATTTGTAGATATCACAGGAATCAGATAACGGTTCTTTCCATTTTTACTGAGATGGCTCGCTATCACTTATTCAGGCATGTGTCCAGTATTCTGGTTTTGTGGAGATAAACTCAGACACTCCCAATCAATAACAATGTAAATTTATACAGTGACTGATCTCAGAGGGTGACAATGTAAAGGCAACTTTAAGGGCTTTAGATAACAAAAGGGAACTCGATTTATTTATTTATTTACTTGAGAATCTTTGGTTTTTAGGCAGCAGGTTTAGCTTTAATTGGTTCCTTAATTTTCCTTGAGGAAGGTAGTCTTTTTTGCTTTCCCAAAAGGTTTCGGGCTTTTGCCTGCTGCTTTTTTACCCCCCCCATAAGAGTGTTAGAAGTAACCACAGATATCCTAAAACAGAAAACATCCCTCCCCCACAATGGTAGAAGCAAGCAGCTGATAAGAGAGCTAAGTTGAGTGATGGGAGAGATTTTAGTTTGCTGTGCTTCACTTCTCCTCCCCCATATCTTGTAAGGTAGGGAGATTCAAAGCGAGGGAGGAGAGGTTTGGATTTTCTGTGCCCCCCCCCTTCAGACTGCAAGGCAAGAGAATTTCTTTCCCCAAACAGAGAGTAAGTAGGAAAGTTTTGCTTTTCCCCACCCCAGGACAGGGACAGGAGACAAAAGGATTTATCTCCACTCAGTTAATAAGCAACAAACGATTTCTTTTGTATGAACACACCTTATCTCTTCTTTTGCAAAGGCAGAGTTTCCCAAGAGGGTTTTTTACCTTTTTTTTTTCTCTTTTCTTTTCTCCTGGCAGAGACTGTTTTTGTCAGGGGTTTGTTTTCTTTTTTTTTTTTTTTGCTTTATAAGATATCTTGGCAAAAGGTGTTTACAGGAGTAAGATACAACCAAGAACATGGCATTTCACCAAAACTTCAGCACATAAACCTATTCCACAGGATAGGTGGCATGGCAGCAGCTGCTGCTGCTGCAGGGACACCAGGTAGTTCCACTGCTGCTGCTGCTGCATGGACACCTGGTAGTTCCACTTCTACTGGAGCTGCCTTTGCAGCCTCTCCACCTACCGTTGCTCCTCCAGCTGCTTGCACTTGTACTCCTGCTCCTGCTGCTTCTGCAGCTCCTCTCCAGAGGTGGCATGAGCGTGCAGAGCCTCCCACAACAGGAGGTGTTCTAAATATTCTTCCTCTACTGTCCTCCTGTATTTTTTAAGGATTTTAGCAAAGGCTTTCGAGACTGCCTTTTGCTGTTTAGTTAAGGGAATTCCCATTTTGTTCTCGGCTGCTTACCTTATCGTCCAGCGTAAGGTAATTAAGAGCTCTTTTTCGTCACTTCCTTCCAGCGAATTTTTCCTTATGTTCAGCTGAGCTACACCACGATAGTAGGTTCTTTTAGATTGATGGGGGTCCCGGCCAGGCTGGGGCCTTGAAAGGCACCCCAGCCTTGGATAGGTACGGGGGCCAGAACGGTTGGTCGGTTGGTTCGTTTGTTTGTCTATTTATTTATTTGTTTTTGACTCACCTGCGGCTACTGCCCAGGTTCGGCATGTTCTGGATATATTTGCTTTGCTCTGTTACATCCTGAAAGGGTAGGCAGGACAAAGGGCTGTTCCTGGGTATCTCCTTATGGTTGTATATAAATAGGTGGGTAAAGTAGGAAATGAAAGACTTGCCCAAACCGTTCTAACAGGAAAGTAACCTGTGTGCCCCTATGCGGTTGCGAGCTATGCTGGCGATGGTACATGCCTTCGGTAGGGTTGCCCATGCCAGACAGGCCAAAACCATAGGACCAGATACACTACATTCTTGGGCAGGATGAGCTCATTAGCCTTCTGGCAGTCATCCTAGGAGAAGGACAACTCTAATTCCAAACCCAGGCAGATGGAGCTCGCTTAGTCCCATAAGGCCATCCATCTAAGAGAAGGTTACTCTAATCAAACCTACGTCCTGAGGACCTCACTGCCACCATCCAAGCTCGCTCGGCCCTGGCAGATGAACCTCAGGATTAAAGGGTGGGTTCAGTTCCGCGCATACTGCATCTCACCTAAAAATCCATTGCGCAGGCTTGAAGGCTTTACCCACATGCAAAAAGTCCTGTAGCGACGGGCAAGGGTCGAAACAGCAGGTGAAAGGTGCACTGGAAGCTGCAGACCCAACCCTGCATGCAGGCAGTTCAGGATATTGGTCATTTGAGACTGACGGAGATGACAGTCTCTTGGGTCAGCACCCTGAACAACCAAGCAGCCTTTTCAAGGACAGCACTGCTTGCTCCACTCGGAGAGGGGCCTAGAAAAGGTGGCCTAAACAAAGTTCATCTCCACCTTCACCCGGTTGGTTAACCGCAGACCAACGGGCATCTTCCAATGCGGTCGCACAAAGAGCAAAAGACAAAGGCATGCACCTGCCTCCAAAGGTGTACCTAAATTAACTCTAGCATGTTGGAACATCAGAACCATGCTCGATTCTGCGAACAGCGGACGTCCTGAGCAACGTTCTGCCCTAATTGCCCATGAACTGGCTTGTCTCAGCATCGACATTGCTGTTCTCAGTGAAGTTCGCCTTCACGAGGAAGGCAGCCTCAGAGAACATGGTGCCGGTTACACACTCTTTTGGTCAGGTAAGTCCAGAACCAAAAAACATCTCTCAGGTGTCGACTTCATGATCAAAAACTCTATTCTTCCCAAACTCGAAAATCTGCCAACAGGTCACTCTGACCGCATTATCGCCCTACGCCTTCCACTCCACAACAACCAACACATTGTCCTCTTTAGTATATATGCCCCAACTCTCCAAGCTGACCCTGCTGAAAAAGATAAATTTTACGCTGACCTGTGCCGTCTTACCCAAAAGGTGTCTGCAGGTGATAAGATCATTATCCTTGGTGATTTCAACGCCAGAGTAGGTAAGAATTTTGAAGCATGGAAAGGCATATTAGGCAAGCATGGTGTTGGAAACTGCAACGATAATGGTCGACTTCTGCTAGAATTCTGCGCGGAGCAACAGTTTACCATCACCAACACTATCTTTCAGCAGAAAAATAGTCTGAAGACAATCTGGATGCACCCCAGATCTAAGCATTGGCACCTCATCGATTATGTCTTGGTGCGACGGAGAGATATCCATGATGTCCCCCATATCCGCGTGATGCCCAGCGCAGAATGCCAAACAGACCATCAGCTTGTGCGCTGTAAACTCAACATCAATCTCTCATTCAAACCTAAAAGGGGCGGTATCCCAAGGAGAAGACTCCAAGTTAACGATCTCCAATCAGCCGCGGCAAGAGAGAGATTCCAGGCTAACCTTCAAACTCGGCTCGAAAACCATTCCACAGATTCTGCAGATTCCTCCCCTGAATCAATTTGGCACCATATTAAAAACAGCATCCTGCAACCCTCCGAAGAATCCTTAGGGTTCTCCCTCAAGAAGAACAAGGACTGGTTTGATGAAAACAATCAAGAAATCCAGGAATTGTTGAGGAAGAAGAGAACTGCCCACCAAGCACACCTTGCACTGCCATCCTGTCACGCAAGAAAAATAGCCTTTCGTCTTGCATGCAGCAAGCTCCAACAGAAACTCCGTGACATCCAGAACAAGTGGTGGATGGATCTAGCTGCAAAAACTCAACTATGCACAGAAGCAGGTGATCACAAAGGATTCTACGAGGCCCTGAAAACAGCATACGGGCCTACATACCAGGTACAAAACCCTCTACTCAGCGCTGATGGGCAAACGCTTCTGACAGATAAAACATCCATTCTGAATAGATGGTCTGAACACATTCAGACTCTTTTCAGTACCAACCGTGTAGTCCAAGACTCAGCAATTCAGTCCATCACACAACAACCAGTAAAGTATGAATTGGATACTGCCCCCACTTTAGGAGAAACCCTCACTGCCATACAGCAGGTGAAAATCGGCAAGGTAGCTGGGGTTGATGGAATTCCACCTGAAGTCTGGAAACATGGGGGCCTTGCACTCCATGGCAAATTTCACTAGTTTGTGGTGCACTGTTGGGAAGTAGGCGAACTACCTTCAGACCTTCGTGATGCAGTCATCATCACTTTGTATAAGAAGAAAGGAATTAAATCAGATTGCTCAATTTACCATTGTATTACTCTGCTCTCTATTGCTGGCAAAATCCTGGCAAGAATACTCTTGAACAGACTAATACTCGCTATAGCAGAAGAAATTCTACCTGAAAGTCAGTGCGGTTTCAGAGCCAACAGGAGTACCACAGACATGGTATTTGTTCTCAGACAACTGCAAGAGAAGTGTAGGGAACAGAATAAAGGTCTCTATGTAACCTTTGTCAACCTCACCAAGGCTTTCCATACTGTGAGCAGAAAAGGTCTTTGGCAGATTTTGGAACGTTTAGGCTGTCCCCCCAAATTCCTTAAAATGATCATCTCACTCCACGAGGATCAGCACGGCCAAGTCAGATACGGCAACACACTTTCTGAGCCCTTTCTAACAAAGAATGGCGTGAAACAAGGCTGCGTTCTCGCTCCTACCCTCTTCACAGTCTTTTTCAGCATGATGTTCCAAAGGACCACGGCAGACCTCGATGATCAGGACGGTATCTACATTCGATATCGTACTGATGGAAGCCTATTCAACCTAAGGCGACTGAAGGCCCACACCAAGACCTTATACCACCTTGTCCGGGAGCTGCTTTATGCTGATGATGCCGCCCTTGTTGCCCACACAGAAGCAGCCCTGCAGCGTTTAACATCCTGCTTTGCAGACTCTGCTGAGCTCTTTGGGCTGGAAGTCATCTTAAAGAAGACAGAAGTTCTCCATCAAGCTGCACCTCAGGAAGTCCCCCATCATCCCCACATCACCATTGGCCAATCAGAACTCAAAGCAGTCCAGCAGTTCAATTACCTCGGCAGCCTCATCTCCTCAGATGGTAAGATTGATGGAGAGATAGACAACAGGTTAGCAAAGGTGTATAGTGCCTTCGGAAAGCTTCATAAAAGAGTTTGGCGAAATAAACACCTGAAGAAAAGTACAAAGATCAGTGTTTACAGAGCCATAGTGCTGTCTACTCTCTTATATGGATCTGAATCATGGGTCATCTACCACCACCACCTGCATCTCCTAGAACGCTTCCATCAACGCTGCCTCCGTACAATCCTAAACATCCACTGATCAGATTATGTGACCAATACATCAGTTCTGGAACAAGCAGCAGTCACAAGTATTGAGGCCATGTTGCTGAGAACACAGCTGCGTTGGGCAGGGCACGTCTCCAGGATGAAGGACCACCGCCTTCCTAAGATCCTGCTTTATGGTGAACTTGCCACCGTATGCCGCATGAGAGGAGCCCCAAAGAAAAGATACAAGGACTCCCTGAAACAACATCTCAGCCTTGGCCATATTGACCACCATAACTGGTCTACTCTGGCCTCCAATCGGGAGGCCTGGAGACACACCATCAATAACGCTGCTAATGCCTTTGAGAAAGCACGCAGGATCACCCTTGAGGAGAAAAGACAATGCAGAAAGAATCGTGCCTTGCAGAATTTACCATCTAAGGAGTCTTTCTGTTGTGCCTTTTGCAACCGGTCATGCCTATCTCGTATTGGCCTTTTTAGCCACCAACGTGCTTGCAACAAGCGTGGGTAAAGCCCTTCCCAAATCTTCGTTCGCGAAACCTAGCCATGCAGCTTTTATAACCAAACACAAACGGAGAAACTTTCCTTATAAGGCAAAAACCGTAACCGCAGCATCTGATTGGCTGCTAGTTGTCACCTGGAGAGGTGGTAGGTTTTCAGAGCTGCAGACTCATCCCTGTGATGAGTTGCTTAATACTCTGCAAAGGTCTGGTTTTTTTCAGGCCTTCAACCTGCCTATTCCCCACATGCACCTGTGTATTGTGTGCACCTGAAGGCCTTCATTAAAGAGCTGCTCTCTATCTTATTATACTAATATTGTTTGGAGAGTTTTTTCCTCCCATTTTAGGCATCAGTTCCTTCTGTATGAACTTTTGGAGAAAATGACTGTCCTGGGCAGCCAATGTACAGAGAGTGTTTTGTTGTCCTTCCTTAGAAAATTTCTCAATCGCCCTTCAACCCCTAGGGTGGACGTAGCAGGAGAAAATTGGAACAATAAGCAATTGGTTACTCAGAAATCTGAAGATGAAATAATGCTATCTTTACAAGATTTGGTGAAAGAATTGTGTTTTCAGTTAAATGAGGAACAGGAAAAAAGGCTGCAGGCAGAGGCATTGCTTGCTGCCAAGCATGATCATGTCCAAAAGCTTCAAGCCGAGCTTTGCAATGTGCACAAGAGAGAGAGAATCTTATGGGAAGAATTGCAGGATGTAGAACCTGTAACATTCTCTGAAACGTGGTCTTGTAACTCAAACTTACTGTGTTCAGTGGAGGACTTGAGAGACCGTAAATGATTCTGTTCTGATAAAGAGCAAAACGTAACATTTGCATTGATATCTGATGATGAGAAAGTAGCATGTCGACCCTTAATTAAAACTGAAACCATAAATGATTGCCAGGGTCAGCAAACTGCTACTAAAACGGCTACTGAGATATCAAAGTCTGGCCATAAATCAGGTGAGATTGAAATTCAGTCAATATTAATGCAGTGGGATGCCGAGAAGCTGGAAGCACTTCCCAGATGGCAAAAAGTTAAAATCACTGGAGTAAATGGAGCAAGTGTAGTCTAGTGAACTGATAAAGTTAATTCATGCTCCATGAGAAGTAAAAACCTGTTAAAAACCCTGAAAGAAACCCAACCCAAGCAGCTAAAGCACTCTGTAATTCACAAGCTGCAGCACTTGTGGAATTTTTACACGCAGTCTCACTCCCTCCAACATGAAATGAATAGGAGGAGACCCCCCTGATAAGACTGGACAAGCAACAATAACAGAGCAGTAAGCACTTCATGAAATAGAAGTTAAAACTCCACCTGAAAGATATCAAGTTCATGCAGTTAAACAACTTGATTCACTAAGGAGTAACTTGCCAGGGAAGTTTGTGTTGTTTTCTTTTTCTAGGAATGCCAGCACCCCCCCACTGAAGATCAAGGGAACCAGTTTGGACTGGGGAAACTCCCATTGGATTTACATGAGAAGGCTTACAGAAGGCTATGGAGATGTAATAATCATTTTTCCCTTAGGCCCTTTTACCTTTGTGGTAGACACAGGACCATCAAATCAACACTCGATGGATTGGTCCTTTTTTTTTCTCATGATTAGTTTATAGGTAGGCTGAATTTTCACTTATCTTTTTATAGGAACCTGCCAACAGAGGAGATGGAGCTGTGTGGGAACCAATGAAACTTCTAACTGTCCCCATAATTGCTTGTATTATCAGTTTAATAATGTTTGTGATTTGTTTGTGTTTTCATCACAAGTGACTTGTTGGGAGACCAAATATAAGACAAACCATTTTATGTATTGTTAATTTTGCTAAAATCATTTTGTCTTTTTACTAAAAAAAGAATGACATGGAAAAAGCTTTTACTTTTATCTTATGGATATATGATTTTGTTTCAACCAATTGAGAATTAAAAAAAATCAACCAAATTTAACTTGAGAGTTGGTACAAGAATTTATGCATATTTGAAATCATGCAAATATATATTAACTTTCCCAGTTCTTCCTCAGAAGGCTTTGAATTTATTATGATGATTTGGCTAAATATTTCAGAGATATTGACAAGTGAACTAAATGATTTTAACAAAACAAGAGAAATATTACATGAAAAATGGTTGAGTCCCCCTTCCTATACCAGAAGGAGTTGCATCTATGGACTGCAAATGGGACAGAGATAAAATACTGGAAAACCTTTACCAGCTCTCAAGACCTGCAACCATTTTTGGAAATACTTGTAGTTCTCACTTGAACATATTTGATGTACTATTAAGTTTCCTACCATGTGTCCTAAGATGGTTTTTAACTTTACATCACTTCTTTTATCTATGTTAATCTATATGGTAACTATAGTACATTCTGCACCACACACACTTCTCAGTTGTGGGTGCAACTTAGTGTAACAGTAATTGTAAAGGAATGTGATGAAGGTAATTTGCCCAGAAAAAAAACAAAACAGAAAAAGCAACCTGGGATAATACAACTAAATTTGAAAGTGAATTAATTTTACTTATAACCCCACCAACAGTAAAGCCACAGTTTTTGCTTTGTATATGTGTCTGTATGAAAACCTTTTTCATGATAACTTTTTTTGTATTTTGTATAAAAACTTTGTACACTAAAAATTGCACTTGGACTTGCAAGACAAGCAGTTATACTGCAGCGCTTAGATTAGCTTGAGGATGTTCCTAACTAAGCATGCTAATCTAAAAATGTGGGACAGTACTCCCATCCATTTGCCCGAATCATGTCTTTGATTTTTTACTTGCAGGAAAGAACTTAGTTCTCCTGGACAAAGCCAAGAATGGATCAGTAATATATGTGCCCCAGATTATTATACAGTGCGGTAAAAGATAGCTTTGGAATTTAAGATAATTTTTACTCCTTACATAGTTATCGGGCAGTACCAATGGGCTTGGAAAATATTACGCGGCAGGTACATGCCCTCAGTAATTGGACCAGGTATGCATTTGGAGAGCTTAACTTGCAAGTCCAACAAGTGTCAAAAATGACTTCACAAAATTTCTTAGCATTTGATATGTTATTGTTGAAAGAACAAGGTGTGTGTGGAACGTTAAATCTTACTGAAACTGAATGTTGTATTACCATTCACAGTGCAACAGCATCAATTGAAGAAGCCTAAGCCAAAATGAAGAAAATTGTGAATCAAACATCAGAACTTTTCCAATTATTTCAACCCCAGTTTCTGGCTGATGTCCATACTCCACTCCTTGGGACTCACGGGGTGGGGGTAGTGGCTAATGAGGATTGGGTTGATGACTGCAATTGGGTTTACATTCTTGATGATTGGGATAGCTATTGTATGCTGTATGATTACTCATATTATTACTTCTGCTGCTTCTGTCTTTTCTCCTCTATCTGCTATGTACGTATCACCCCCGTGGACAACTCGTGAACTAAGGTCCCTAGGAAAAAACAGTTGTTATAATGTTTAAGCCAGGGGGTGGTGTGAGAGACTGAAATGTTGTTAATGTCTTAAACATTGTCAAAAGCATAGAAAGGCTTTTTGTCAAACTACAAGGAAGCAACTGCCTTGTCTGAGACCACTGAATAACCCCCCCTCCCAAATATGCCTCCTGTCTGGAATTTGGACTGTGATGGGAACTTGAGATTAGACTATTGTCCAGTTATCTCAGATCTGAGGAGAAGTAAACAAGGCTCAGGAAAGAAGAATGTATCTGTGTTAAGAATCAGCCCTACCTGGGCTCAGTGAATTTTGGGGGTGTGATGGCAAAATCTCTCCACACCAAACAGAAGGACTAAACCCCCCCCTCCCTCCCTGGGAAGACCATGTACACATGGGACATTCACTTGAGAGGCTTCTGGGAAGGGGTCATAAACCATCAAAGACCCCCAAAGCTCCCCCTGGACTCATTCCTGAGACCTTCCACCACCAGAGGACTGCACATGATCCAAGTGAGGCAACAAATCCAGAGCCTGTTGCAAGAGACTGCAAAGCTCCCCCCCAGGGGAGGTGCCTGGGCATCTCCTGAACGTATATTCATCCATTGGACTCTATGTTTTGCAGGACCCTCACCACCAAGAAGACCAGAAGAAGAGGGCCCACGGGATGCTGCTGGGTTCCACAGAGTGGTGATACATTTTCTATTTAATCTCTCTCTGTCACTCTCTTTCCCTGCCCTCCTTCCCCTTTTCCTATTTCTTTCTATCTCTTTCTCTGCCTCCCATTTACTGTTAAATAAAATCCATACTATTGACTTTGGCATATGGTCTCGTTTGCACTTTAATTGGGGCAGAGGCATTTCTAATAATTTTAATAATTGGATCATAACGCTGCCCAATGTGTGACATGAGGAATTCATAGAATCATAGAATCATTAAGGTTGGAAAAGACCTCTAAGATCATCGATTTCAACCATTAATCCAGCACCAATGTGTTCACCAGTAAGCCATACTCCCAAGTGCCACATCCACGTGCCTTTTCCAACACTTCCAAGGATGGTGATTCCACAACCTCCCTGGGCATCCTATTCTAATGCCTGGTCACTCTTTCAGTGAAGAAATTTTTCCTAATAAGTAATCTAAACATCCCCTGTGTAATGGTTTGAGAGCCCCAAAATCCAATTCCCGAGTCCAAGCCCCCCTCCCACATCTCAACCCAGTGTGAGATGGGTTTTCCAGACACCACACGAGACTCAAAATGGGGGGAAGGGAATATATTACAATGACAGTAAAAATGAATATTACAATACATTACACACATAATCTCAACTATCTCTACCATGATAAAGCAGTATTTACAATGGATCAAATCTCTTCTTCCTCCAAATAAAAGTCCAGGAGGGAAGAAGGAAGAGATCCTTTCCACTCTCAGAGCAGCAGTGTCTCTAGGGCAGCAGGCTCTCTTCTTCCATGCAGCAGCTCTAGTTGGATCTCTGCCAGCACACATGAGGTGGTCTCCAAGCCCCTCTCGGCCCTTCGACTCCAAGCGAGGGTCTTTCTCTTCCGTGGACTGCGTAGCAGGGACAAAACTCGCTTCACCACGTCATATCATGGGGTGTAAGACATCCCATGAAGGTCCCTTCCTCAGGGGATTCACCCCTGAGTCAGAACATCTCAGGCAGCTTTCAGTTGAAGGCCTTTGCCTCAAGAGTTCTATCAGAGCTTCTGTGCTCTGTCTCAAGTTGTTGCTTGGCAGCAGCAGCGAGGGGCAAAGCCCTCCTCTGGATTCCTTTGACCATCTCAGTCCATCTCCGGGAAACCTGAGCTTCTCAGCTCCTCTCTTTTTGGTGCTGTAGCACTCTAAGACTCTTCTCAAGTAAGAGTCCATCTCCCTCCTCCTAGGAGGGGTCTCAAAAGGGTTTTGGGGGTTTTGGTTTTCAGTTCTTACCCAGACTCTGTCTCTGCAGGGCTTAGTCCTGCTATCTCTCTCCATTAGAGATCTCTGTGTCTTCCTTGGCTGCATGCCGGCTTTGCTGCTTCTCTCTTATCTCTTGGCTCTCTGCCCTCCGTACACTGCTGCTTCTGCCGCCGCTGCTCCTGCTGTCCATGGTGGAGGGAAAAAAACTCCCAACTTCTCAGTTACAGACCTCACTCCAGTTTAACACTGTTTCTGAGTTTCTGCAACGGCCCCCCAGAGGGGCTCCTGCCCCTTCTCCTCGTGGCTTTACAACATGGCCACTTCTCTTCCAACAACAACTACAACTACCTTCTTTTCTGGTCTGGGTGATATTTTTATATTTTGCAGGAGCACTCATTGGCTGGACCCCAAAGGTCACCACCCCCTGGGGCATTACCATTTTATAACTTCAGGGGGAAAACTCTTTTTTCCCCCACCACACCCTGGCACAACTTGAGACCATTTCCTCTCATCCTTTCTCTTGTTACCTGGGAGAAAAGGCCAATCCTCACCTTGCTACAACCTCCTTTCAGGTAGTTGTACAGAATAAGGTCACCCCTGAGCCTCCTTTTCTCCAGGCTAAACAATCCCAGTTCCCTCAGCTTCTCCTCATAAGACTTGTGCTCTAGACCCTTCACCAGCTTCGTTGATCTCCTTTGGATATGCTCCAGCACCTCAATGTCTTTCTTGTAGTGAGGAGCCCAAAACTAAACATAGGATTTGTACCGAATAAAGGGGGACAATCACTTCTCTACTCCTTCTGGCCACACTATTTTTGATTCAAGCCAGGATACCACTGGCCTTCTTGGTCACCTGGGCACACTGCTGGCTCATGTTCAGCTGACTGTTGACCAACACCCCCAGGTCCTTTTCCACCAGGCAGCTTTCCAGCCACTCTTCCCCAGCCTGTAGCTTTGCTTGGGGTTGTTGTGACCCAAGTGCAGGACCTGGCACATAGCCTTGTTGAACCTCAGATAACTGGCCTTGGCATATCGATCCAGACTGTCAAGATGCCTCTGTAAAGTTTTCTTACCCTCAAGCAGATCAAACATTCCTGCACAACTTGGTGTTGTCTGCAAACTTGATGAAGGTGCACTTGATCCTCTCATCTATAAAGATGTTAAACAGGAGTGGCCCCAATACTGAGCCCTGGGGAACAGCACTTGTGACCAGTTGCCACCTGGATTTAACTCCATTCACTACCAGTCTCGGTCCAACCATCCAACCAGTTTTCTACTCAATGAACAGTGCACTCGTCCAAGCCATGACCAGCCAGTTTCTCCAGGAGAATGTTGTGGGAGACAGTGTCAAAGGCTTTACAGAAGTCCCTTTCTCATAGAAGGAAATCAGGTTAGTCAAGCAGCCCCTGCCTTTCATAAACCCATGCTGGCTGGGCCTGATTCTCCTGCTGCATGATGGCACTGAGCACCAAGCCTGCCAGAGTTCAAGAAGCATATGGACAACAGTCTCAGGAACATGGTGTGATTCTTGAGTCTGTCCTATGCAGGGCCAGGAATTGGACTATGATGATCCTTGTGGGTCCCTTCCAACTCAGAATATTCTATGATTCAATATGAACTGGAGTCAAAGGCAACCAAGTGGTATGCTACAATTCACAGAATCACAGAATGGGTAAGGTTGGAAAGGACCACTGCAGGTCATCTAGTCCAACCTCCCTGCTTAAGCAGGGTCCCCTAGAGCACGTTGCTCAGTATTGTATCCACATGACTTTTGAATATGTCCAGAGGAGACTCTAATACCTCTGTGGGCAACCTGTTCCAGTGCTCAGTCACCTTCACAGTAAAGAATTTCTTCCTCATATTCAAGTTCCAGTTTCTGCCAGTTGCCTCCTGTCCTATTGATTGGCACCACCGAGAAGAGCCTGGTTGCATCGTCTTG